CGCTGAGCAGGGAGCCCGATGTGGGGCTCGATCCCAGGACCCTGGGATCATGACCCAAGCCGAAGGCAGACGCTTAACGACTGAGCCACCCAGGCACCCCCTAAACTGAGATTTTAAAAAATATCATAAAAGGGGTACCTGGCTGGCTCAGTTGGTGAAGCAGTATGACTCTTGATCTTGGGGTTGTAAGTTCGAGCCCCACATTGGGTGTAGAGAGTACTTAAAAATAAAATTTTAAATAATAATAATAATATCATAAACATAAAGGAGATAAAGTTTGGTAAAGAGCACACTCTTGTTCACTCAAGTTTCAAGTCAGCCCCTGACCTTCAGGCTCCCTGGCAATATCAAGCAGTTTACCTTACAGATACTCTGCCTTCACTACCCTGCTCTTTGTGTGTTACTTGTGGTCATGGCATCCAACCAACTGGTTTTGATGAGAAAGGGTACCATTGATAACGCATTATAGTCTATGTTTTCAATATACTATTTTATAGTTTGTATCTGTTGTTACTTTAAGCAAGATAGATACCGTATTTTAAACTTCTTTTAGTTTTATAAAAAAGCATGTGGTAGTAACATTGAAGAACTTTTGGAAATGTAAAAAATAAATTCTCTTGGTGGGTCAGTTTTCCTTTTTGCAAATAACCTTCCTACAAGGAAACTTGGTGGTTTATTAGGAGGGATTTTCTCACCCTTGAGAGTAGGATTTTTTTTTTTTTGTATTATTATTATCTTGCTAGGATCATTTCATTGGAAGACCCTTTATGAAGTGTGGCTGAGGTTGTTAGTTTTTCACTGCTAATACAGGACTGATGACTGTTTTTTTAAGGATTATTTTATTTATTTGAGAGAGGGAAGGGGAGAGAGAGAGAGAGAGAGAGCATGCACTAGCAGGGGGAGGGGCAAAGGGCAGGGAGGAGGGGTGGGGGTGGCAGTGAAGAAGCAGGGCTCAATCCCAGGACCCTGAGATCATGACCTGAGCCAAAGGCAGATGCTTAACCATCTGAGCCACCCAGGTGCCCATAGGACTGATGACTCTAAAAATTAAGAATGAGTTTGTAAAGTTGTTCATAGTGATCATTATATAAGTGAGTATGTGAATTGTGATTAAAGCTTGGTTTTGTATCATGAGATTGTCTGCTAATGACTGTCAGTGGTGAAATGTACTAGAAGTCGAAGGTTGCATTGGAGTGTCTTATAAGGAGACGTAATTGGCCTTTTAACTTTGAAGAATCTCTCATATTCTCTTTGTAATGAAATTTCTCCCTTTCAGAGTGGAATGCATTATTGTTGCCAATGATGCCACCATCAAAGGAGGTTCCTACTACCCAGTGACTGTGAAGAAACACTTACGGGCGCAAGAAATTGCAATGCAAAACAGACTCCCCTGCATTTACTTGGGCAAGTCACGAGAGTCATAAAATGAACTATTTTTAGCTGGTAAAATACAATACTGTTTAGAAGGCTATATATGACATTATCAATGGGTATTTTTAAAATCTGTTGGTTTTTCCTGTAATTACAAAATGCGTGTTCTTTGCTAAAAACCCTGGAAGAAAAAGTAAACAAGAACTACCTATAATAACATCACTGAGGAATAACCTCTGACAGTATTTTCTTTTTTTTTTTTTTTTTAAAGATTTTATTTATTTATTTATTAGAGAGCGAGCGAGAGAGAAACAGCATGAGAGAGGAGAGGGTCAGAGGGAGAAGCAGGCTTCCTGCTGAGCTGGGAGCCCGATGCGGGGCTCGATCCCAGGACCCTGGGATCATGACCTGAGCCGAAGGCAGACGCTTAACGACTGAGCCACCCAGGCGCCCCTGACAGTATTTTCATATATGCCAGTTTTTTTTCCTCTTCATGCGTGTGGATTTTTTCCTTCTATGTATTTTCTTTTTGTCTTAACCTTAATGAGTTCAAGCTATGAAAAAATAATAGCTGATATTTATGGATCTTTTGAGTGCTAGGTACTTTGTTAAATGCCTGAATAATTTCAGCAAATACAGTTTAAAGAAATTAAATTCTTCAAGTAAATTTATATTTGAAATTAAAATACGTTTAAATCTAAGGATATTTCAAAAGAAACATAAAAGCAAGGCAGTTTAAAATTGGCACTGCCTGGATTTTGGTTTAGTTTGGTGAAATGCCAGCATTATTATATTGTTTATTTATGTGGGTATTTGAACAGGTACTGATGTAGAGATTTTTTTTTTTCCTGCAAAAGTGAATTTACTTGTTTGACTCACAGTATGAACTTTTTTTTGCATATGTAGAAAACAGCATATGAGGCCCAACTGCTTCCAGGTGCTATGCCAAACACCAATAGGGGATGGAGTGAAGAGTATTATGTTGTCCCTGTCTTGGGCAAGCTTGAATGAATTGGAGACAGGATGTCATGTATTAAAGAACAATGAAGGAACTTAATGTAACACTGCTATATGCACTCACACTGTGCTGAACTAATACCTTACATACCTTATATACCTTATTTCATGTCATCCCAGGAACAGCTCCTTAGGAGAGCTACTGTTGTCCCCTTCATTTCACAGGTGAGGAGAGCGAGGCATAGAATGGCTAGGAAACACACCAGTAATCACACAATCTGAAGTCATCAAACTCTGTTCCACATTCAGTGGACATTCTTAGCCCCCACTCTGCTCTGCAGTAAAAACAGTCCCCCAGGCAGTCTGTGATGAATTGTCACATGAATTCTGTAGATGGTTTTGTATTGGTTTAAAAGAGGGAAAGACACTTTTTTTTTTTTTTTAGCTGAACTGGTTAAGAATTTACAGTGTTTCTGGGGCTTTAGCTTGTCCTCAAAGGAGAGAATGTCCTAAACGTTTCAAGTGGAATTTTGCACAGGGAGGAGATCCTAATGGATTTGAGGAAAACAGTGAATTTTTTTGGGCTGTGTTAGGGGACTGGAGAAAGATGCTGCAGAATAGTTTAGAACGGTAGGGCAAGTTTTTTGTGAATGTGATTAAGAACTGTTGTTGTCATTGATACAAGTCTCTCTGTGTGCAGGGTATTTTGTTCATTCAAATGTACTTACTTCTGTTATTTCCCTTGTCTTCAGTTGACTCAGGAGGGGCAAACTTACCTCGACAAGCAGACATATTTCCAGATCGAGATCACTTTGGCCGTATATTCTATAACCAGGCAATTATGTCTTCTCAAAATATTGCACAGGTAATTGCTCATTAATGAAATGTACTGTTTTTTGCTCCAAATGCCATCGCTAACTAGTTATGCTGAGATGACTTAAAACGCAACTTAATACAGAATTTAGGTTTTTCCCCACAGAAAGTGCCTTAAGGTTATCTCTATTCAGATTTTTCTCTTAATTACTGGCATAGTTTTATACTGTCATAAAGGCTGTTCACCAAAGGAAAAGAGTTTTTGAAAAGAAAGGGCACTGAGTAATTGCTTTTTTTTTTATTATGTTATGTTAATCACCATACATTACATCATTAGTTTTTGATGTAGTGTTCCATGATTAATTGTTTGCGTATAACACCCAGTGCTCCATGCAGAACATGCCCTCCTTAATACCCATCACTGAATAATTGCTTTTTTAGGACTATGGTCTGAGGCACTTTGGTGTCTAGTTGAGGAGACAGGTGCGAGGAAGATTGTTGTAGCATCAACATAGCAAAAGTTAACAAACAACCTAAGTGACCATTATTGGGAGATGAGTAGTAACGATTTTTAGCTGTTCAAATGAATGAACTAGAATTGCGTGCATCAACATAAATAAGTCTCAGGAAATAAGTTGAGTAAAAATAGTGGAATAAATGCATAGTCACTTGCTTTGTTTGTAAATGTTAAATACATGAAACAATCTGTTACTTATGTCTTAAACATGTACGTGGGGGTAATACACTCAGCTTTAGAACAGTGGTTACCTTCGAGGTGGGAGGCAGGAGGAAGGGGCCAGGCAGGAAATGTTATATAAACATTTCACCTATACCTGAAATGTTTTATTTCTTTAAAAAAAAAAAAACCGAAGTGGGGATGCCTGGGTAGCTCAGTCGGTTGAGCGGCTGCCTTCAGCTCGGCTCATGATCCCTGGGTCCTCGGATCAAGTCCCACATCGGGCTTCTTGCTCGGTTGGGAGCCTGCTTCTCCCTCTGTCTGCCGCTCCCCCTGCTTGTACTCTCTCTGACAAATAAATAAATCTTCAAAAAAAAAAAAAGCTAAAGTGAATTTGGCCAAATGTCAATATTTGTTAAGACTGGGTGTTAGGTTAAAGGATATTTATTTTGTTATTCTGTAATCTTTTTTTGGCATGTTTGAAATATTTCATAATACTAATGCTTCTCCTTTGTTTATGTTTTGTTACTGGATTTCTTAAGTTTGTACTGTTTTTAGTAATAGTCTAATGAATTAGCCTTCACTTGTAATTATTGTGTCTTATCTTTATTTTCTATTGATATAGTTGTTATTATTTATTTTGTATCTTATTGTTATGTAGTGACTTTGCCCATCTGTGCTTTATTTATCTAAATAGAAACTTCAGCTTTGCTCACTTTTGCACACAGAGTCCTTCCATTACCTGGTAATGAAATTCTTACTGTGATCTTTTTTTTTAAAGATTTTATTTATTTGAGAGAGAGAATGAGAGAGAGAGAGAGCACATGAGAGGGGGGAGGGTCAGAGGGAGAAGCAGACTCCCTGCTGAACGGGGAGCCTGATGTGGGACTCAATCCTGGGACTCCAGAATCATAACCTGAGCCGAAGGCAGGCGCTTAACCAACTGAGCTAGCCAGGCACCCTGTGATCTTTTGTTTTATAGGGGAAACCAGCCCATTTAATCTGGTATTATAATTTGTATAGTTGTACTAACCTTGTATTAGTTGTATTAGTTTCCTAGGGCTACCATAACAAATTACCACAAACTGGGGGGCTGAAAATAACAAATTTATTCTCTCAAGTTTTGGAGGCTAGAAGTCTGAAATTGAGGTAGCAATGGCGCCAGGCTCTCTCAAAAGGCTTTAAGGCAGACTCTGTTCCTTGCCTCTGCCAGCTTCTCATGGCTCCAGGTGCTCATTTGGTTTGTGGCTCTGTGACTCTGATCTCTGCCTTGTCAGCCTTCTCCCCTGTGTGTCTGTGTCTTTTCTTCTCTCTCTCACAAGGACACTTGTCATTGGATTTCGGGCCTGCCCATATAATCCAGAATGATCTTATCTGAAGATCCTTACTTTCATTACATTTGCAGAGACTCTTTTTCCAAATAAGGTCATAATCAAAGGTTCTAGGGATTCAGGTGTGGGCATATTTTTTGGGGGCCTTCATTCAACCCACTATAGACCTGTCACCTTGCATGCTTATTCTTTTTTTGTTGTTGTTGTTAAACTTTTTTTTTTTTTAAGATTTTTTTATTTATTTGATAGAGACACAGTGAGAGAGGGAACACAAGCAGGGGAAATAGGAGAAGAAGCAGGCTTCCCACTGAGCAGGGAGCCCGATGCGGGGCTCGATCCCAGGACCCTGGGATTATGACCTGAGCCGAAGGCAGACGCTTAACGACTGAGCCACCCAGGTGCCCCTTGCATGCTTATTCTTTGCCCTTTCTTTCTGTTCGTGTAGCTTTTAACAATCAACATGTAACAAACATTTATGGAGGACCTACTGTAAACCAAGCACCTAAACCAGGTAGGGTCTCTGCTCCCGTGGAACCTAAAGCTTAAAGTGCTTTAAAAAACAGATCTTTTTAAAATTAAAAGTGTCCATATTTTTGAATAGGTAGTACCTGCCTATGATTAAAAAAAAAAAATCTAAAATGTCTGAAGGGCATTTGAATGCTTTTCCTTTTCCTATTTTATTTTTGTTTCTTAGAAGTTTTAACATCAATATTTCTTTAACTTAGCCACTTCTCTTAGCATATCTTTTTTCTATTTCACTCCAGTAGGAAGTTTAGGGGAAAGGTTAACCTGCCTCTATTCTTATGAATCTCTTGGAATTGGAGAAAAATTTCTAACTGCTATTGTGTACCAGTCTCTGTAGCGCTTATTCTGATCTTTTCCCCAGTAAGTGAACTCTAAACCCCACGTCTGCACTGAAGCTGTTGTTTCATACTTCACTGAAGAAATCAGGCTGTTTGTGAGCACTGTTGTACTAAACACACTGCGACTTCGCCTTCTTTTATCCCAGAAACAACTGTCCCTCTTCCTCTCCAAAGCTAAACTTGTCATTTATAATCCTCACGCCAACCCCTCCTTTGTGCCTCATCATCTATCCCTTCTCTCTTACTTTAACATTTTCTCATCTACTTTTTTTTTCTCACAGCCAATAACCATGTTGACTTCTGTTTTTAAAGGAAAAAGAAAAAGCACCAAAAGCAATGGCAAAAGGACCTTTTCTAGCTTCTCCTGTTCCCCGAAGCTTCTCTCCTTCACCTGATCAGCAGACTCCTTAAGAACTGCCTCAGGACCTCCGTTCCCGACTGCTCACTCTCCATTAAATCCACTGCCCTCAGAGGTCCCGCTAGCCTCCGAGAGACCAGATTCTCACTCTGTATGACCCCTTGGTCTTATCATTTGTTCCCTTCCCTGAAATCCTCTTTAGGCTTCTTGCCTCTGGCTTTTCCTTGTTTCCCCACTCTCTCCATGTAATCCTCCCAATCCCACCCAGGAACTTGTCTTTAATGGTTTCATAAACGCTCATGACATACCTTTCATCTCCATGATCTTTCCTGACCTCCCGCTGCACCTCTGCTTACCCTTGGGTGTTCCGCTGTCTGCGTGGATTTCCCATTAGTACTTACAGGCTCAAATTGGACGTCTTTCCTAGGAAGGCTTCCCAGAATCCCTTCCTGGAAGTAATCTTTTCCTCCCAACTCCCCCAATTTTTTTTTTTTTTTAAAGATTTTATTTATTTATTTGATAGAGAGAGACACAGAGAGAGAGGGAACACAAGCAGGGGG